AAGTAATTTTTTAAAATAATCCTTTTTTGTGATAAAGATTTAATACTTATTACTATAATCTAGACATGTTAATCTTTAAATATACAAGTATATTTAAGTATTGGCCACAAGTATATTATATATACTTGTGGCCCAAAACTTCATGACATCTTTCAATGTGGCCCAGAGAAACAAAAATGTTGGACACCCCTGATTTATAACATCCAGGAAAATTCTGAAGTTTGTAGATGGGGAATGATAGACTATTACCAGCATCAAATTACCTACAACTATCATAATTACATCTATATAATTCCTTGTAAAAGTTAGATTTGAAACAACTTCATAATGTTTATCATTATGTATATATATTACTATACCGTGCTGATTAGGTTTTCTTTCTATTTTTTCTTGCCGATAGTCTTTTATATATGGTGGAAGATTTACATCATTTGTCCAAGTCTTGCAAAAAGCTAATACATCAAAGTTGCAGTTATATTCCTTGGTTGTTTTAATTACAGTAGAACCTCGATTATCCGGACTAATTGGGGATGAAGGTAGTCCGGATAAGGAAAAATTCGGATAATCGAAACAAATACTTTAATTTGTCTTTTAATGATAATACATCACGTTTTCTTTTCGATGACATATCGGCAATATTAAAAGTAAATACTGTATTTAAATCGTGATCAAATTTTCAAGAAACAAACGTTCATATTTAATTTGGACTACTACTGACCAACACTAACAGACTACCTATTGTTTAAAAGGCCCTCTGGTGGTGCAATAAGACAGATTTTATAAAATAAAAAACAGTTGAAACTGCATTTTTATGAATAAAAATTTGACAAACTATTTATCGTTTTATGACGAGTAAAATTTTTTTGTCACGTTCGCAGCTTTTAAGTAATGCATAAACCTTTGAAACGCGAGGCATAGGCAATGGCTCACGTTGCCCATGCCTTACGCCACCCTTGGTCATAGAAATGATGTAATTTGAAAATAAAATTTTTTATAAATACGTATGTCAAATTATATTTTTATTATGACGTAAAATATATTTAAGAGTTTGCGGCCACTGTGCCAGGTGAGACGTTGAAACAAAAAAAATTATGTATTCCATCATGTACATAAACAGTATTGTAATTCGCCAAGTGCAAATCAGCAAATTCGTAAAATTTTTGTTTATTTTGAACAATTCGGATAATCGAAAATCCAGATAATAGAGGTCTGGATAATCGAGGTTCTACTGTATTTCTAAATATTTATTATTTAAACCTCTTACATTGCAAAAAAAAACAAATATGCCCTTTTTGGAGAAGTTGTCTATCTTTGTGTGTGTTAATAATTCAGTCATTCCGAAAAATTTTCTCTAAACTGTCCATTGTTGGTATCCGAATTGTTGGAGAAGAAGTACCCTTTTTTAAATACACATTTCCGTTATTTGTCCAAGTGTTTAATATTTTTCCTTGTTTTTTTTAGCTTGTTGTTTTATAGAAAATATTTCTATAATATGGAGTAAGATGTTCATTTATATATATTTTATATTCCTCATCTATAATACCACGTACATTTGTAGTTATTTTAAGCTTTTTCTGTTTAATAGTATTCATTATTTCAAATTCTTTCTTTTGTTATTAATGGATTTAATTCTATAGGCATTCAATAGACCTGACTGATTAAAATTATTGTCAACAAACGAAAAAATTTTATATGCTATTTCTGTTAAATTCTCATTCTGAAGTGTCGGCACGCCAACAACCTCCAAGCTTGAGTTGTTTAGATCCTGCTCCAACATGCAGAATTTTTCTTTTAAAGAATTTAATTCTGCCTTCGTACTTTTATTCTCTTCCTTTAGTTCTGTCATTGTTTCGATAGCAGTTTCATAGTTTCTCTCTAAAACATTAATTCTCTCTTCCATTTTGTCAAACTTATTTGTTAAGAATTCTGTCGATTTCTGGATTTCTATGTTTGTTTCTTTTATGTTACTCAACTTGAAGTGTATTAGTTTCACTTCTTGTAAAATTATTTCAGAATTTTTGGTAGTTATACTTAAAGGTGACGTTGGAGTGAAAGTTAGATTATCTGGTGTTCTATCCACGTTTTTATTATAATTATGTGAAGTCATAATAATTTGCTCACACTCACCCAGTTCTCTGTCGTCTTCCAGTTCCTGTGTCCAGTTTGCGTTGTTCTTAATGGTTTTCACTCATTTGCAATCTTCACATTTTCAAGTTTTTTTGTAAGACTTGCTGAACTTATGAAAGTTTGCTGACTGGATCCCAAAACAATAGAAGTGAACAAATTTAGAGCAATTGGAACAAGTTAATAAGTCACTTTCAGAAACTTTGTGCTTGCAAAAAAGAACAAGCACTCAAACGACGATTTGCCATAGCTCCACGCCTCCTCCACTCTTGCACGCATCACACCTCTTCCACTCTCGACTTTGATAGAAATAACCCTCCATCGATACTTCATTAAGATTCTTAATCATTAGTTGTTACTAATTTGGTAAAATTACTAATTTTTGTTTATTTCAAACTGTGGACTGCTAATGCACCTAAATTCAAGTTTAAAATATTATGGGTTTAAAAGTTTAAAATGATACAATAAATCTGAGTTTAATTTTTTTTTTTTGAAACATAAACGATGTTATCTGAAAATTCCTAAAGTATAAATATTTACTGAAAAATAAAGTTTCAGTTACCCCAATATCTCTTTGTAAACCACATTTGTGGTACTGCCTTTCAGGGCTAAGACTTTTTAAGCCTTAATTTTTTCTCTCTCCCCACGGTGGAATTTCCAAAAATTCCTTCTTAGTGTGCACTCTCATTGCATACCCTACTAAAATGTAGTTAAAAACAAAAAATTGCATCTAAAATAGTACAGTAGAAGCCATTCTTCAGGTTAAGCCTTAATCCTCTCCTTCTCCCCCTGCAGAGGGAATTTTGAAAAAATCCCTTCTTAGTGTGCATTTTCATGATGTATCTTAACTGTGTACCAAATTTCACCTCTTTAGGTTCAGCAGTTTGCTCTGGGTGATGATGAATCAATCAGTCAGTCAGGACATGTAATTTTATGTATAGATTAAGATAAACTATATAATTTTACTGTTGTCATTGCATGCATGATATGTTCATACAATTTTCTTTCTGTGAAAATTTTGTTTTTTGATTTTTAAATTTAAGTTAAAATTATAAATTTGAGTTTAAAAACCATTAGTTATATTTAGATTCTTCACATTTTCATTGAAAAAATTTCATATCAGTTATCAAAAATATATTGTAAAAATAATTTTTTTATTTTATGTAAATTTCATGTTATATTTATTTTTCTTGAAAAGAAATATTATTTGTTTTATTTATATTTCTATTAAATTTTTTTATAACTAGATAGAATCTTGAAAGAATTGGAATCATTTTGCATGATAAAATGAAATAATTAACAATATTTTTTGTCATTTTACTTTCCTGGATATTATATACAACAGAGAGAAAGTATGGAAATCAGCCAAAAAATAACCCCCAAGAGTTTTACATTTTTTGACTCAGGGCCTTAAAACACTAAAAAAATGCAAAAAATGTTGGGGGTTTTTTCTGTATGTCTTCTTATAACAACTCTAAGTAAATTTGTTCCTGCTCCACCAAATGGCACTACAGAATACAAAGAGACTGTATCTTAATCATAGGAAGTTTGTGCACCTAGCAGTCACTGAGGCGTCTGGACTTAAAAGATCGGACCCAAGCTCTGGTGGTACTGCCCAATGGGGACCAACCTTCCTCGCTCTCTAGTCCAATCTTCTTACATTGCCATACAGTTTTATGTGCAGCCTGTACTGCACTAGAGTGCTCTATCATTGAGAGTATTGCTCACACGTTAACGGTCAGTGAGGTCCTCCTCCCCTAGATAAGAGGGACCCTACCAAGTGTGTCCACCAGACTATAGGTCAAATAGACCCAATACTACTTCCATCAATTCCTTTAATGTCTCTAAGTTACTTGCTGCTAGCATTTGAAATACTTGGTCTTTGTGCTTATTTCAATCAATGTAATTAGCCCTTCTATGGAAGTCATCTGTATGAGGGCAGTCAAGTAGGTAGTGCCTCGTGTCGCTGCGTGGGCACCCGCAGGAGTAGCAACCATCCCCAGGTTCAAACTTGGACTTGAAGTGGGGAAACTTTCCATGTCCCATAAGGACTTGGGTCAGCATCCAATTACAACTGAATGGAGTTAGGCCAACTTCAGGCACGAAGGCATATGTTGGCCTACCTACGGTACTGAGGTTCCAGTGCTCTTGCTAGTATATCATTGATCGCTGCAGTAGAGTACCTTTTATGTAACTTGCTGGAGGTTCCACCTTCTCCATTATGGATGATCCCTTGGCCGCTGCCTTGGCCAGGTAATCAGCATGCTCATTGCCCGGGATCCCGGTGTGGCCTTGGATCCATCTCAGGTCAACTTGTTGCGCGTGTCTCACCCTCAGTACCCTACTTTTGATCTTTGGTATCAAACAATTTTGATGGTATGTATGGATGTTATTGTATGGGGAGATATAATTTTGTTCACTTTTTGTCAAAAATTTCTAAAATTTTGCAAGGAGGTTTTTGTTAGGGGCATTGATGTTATTAAATTTTAGTGGTTAAAGGTTAAGGGGATTGCTTGTCATATTGTGAGTTTGGTTGGACTTAATGAAGATTTTACTCATTATCAACATTTGTGATCTTTTATAAAACTTGTCTCTACCCTCAAAATTAAGCTTTTTGTCATTTTATAATAATTAATTAAATAAAAAGTTCTTTAATAAAATCTCATAACAGATGGTACCACATACAATTGTAACTGTTTTTGCTGGGAACATTATGCAACTCATTGCTGGATTGTTTTAAATAATGTTTTTAGTCAAAAATTAATTATTTTAATATTAATATTACAAAATACATTGTATTTAAAATATTTGTTAATTAAACATATTTTGAAAAATTCTTTAGAAATCAAAACAAAAACATTTTACTTTTATTTCAGGCTGTACTTCAAGATTTGTTTCCTGATACACAATTGTCAATGCCTGAAGATGATGTTTTACAAGAGGCATTAAAATACTCACTCATTACAAAAGGATTACACCCGACTAAAATTACGATAAAAAAAGCAACTCAGTTATTCCAAACTATGGTTGCACGTCACGGTGTTATATTAGTAGGCCCTGCTGGTAGTGGAAAGACAACTTGTTATGAAGTAATCTGATATTTTGAAAAATTAATATTATAGGCTGTATATATATATATATGTATGTATGTATGTATGTGTGTGTGTGGTAGTCAAAAATAAGAAGTAAAGAAACATTTAATGTAACTTTTATTATGTTAATGGTTCAAGTATTTACAGAAGATTATCTTTAAAATAAGCACTTTCTGAGCTACATATTTCTTCTAAAGGCTTTAATTGCTACAACTTCATACAGTATTTGATGCCTATTAGTCATTATTGTATAATAAATATCTGATCAAGAAGCATAACAATGCTCTCTTTATCTCTTGATTTGTCTCCAGAGACTTTTACCTGTTTTCTAAAATGAAAGAAAAGTTGAAGGAGTGCACATTTTTATCAGTAACATAGATAGAGACCCTAATTATGAGAGCCTGTAAATACATCACAAAAAATAGCATTCAGGAGTGATATTGATGCAAGCATAAGTATGTAGCTACAGTAGGGGCTTATTTTTTAAAGTGGTGTGATGTAATAGTTTCTAAATGCTGGGTAATAAACAAAATTTCACATCTTACAAACTGGAGTAATAAGTTTAATAATATAAAATTATTTTTGACTAAATTAACAAGTCTTCCTCAGTTATTGAATTACCAGATAGAAAGTTCAAACAAAAAGAATACTAGATAAAAATTTAAACATAATGGGAAATGATACAAAATTATGACATATAAAATTAAATAACAAAGATAAAATAAATTGAAAATGAAATAATAAAAACATGTAATATATATAGTAGATGTAAAATAATATAAGATACAGTAGATTGTGTGTTTCTCTTCCCTCAGTATAACAAGTGCTAGTTCACAAGAATGTCTAAAGTGGACAAAAGTATAATATAAGTAATTAAGAAGGACAAGAAGCACATATCAACATCAAAATAAGAGTTCATACATGGGAATGCCATGGGGTAAACAGTGTGTCTGCATCATGGTAATTGGCACATTTACATTTTCTGTAAGCTTTATAAATTTCTACCATCTCAAAATATTTATGTGAATTGATGTTTATGGTAGGTCTGATGATCTTATCCTCTTCCCAATTCTCCTGGACATCAGGGTGGTTAACATAAGCCACCAAAGTTGTATTAGATAGTTTCCTATCAACAGTTTATTTGTGCTTTTCAATCCTCTGGTGCAGATTTTGTCTGGTAGCTTCATGTACATGAATTTTGTTATAATTTGGTAGTTCTCTAATGAGATGGAATAAATCTCAGGAAATTATTACAATCATAGCACAGTTTGTTATTTCTGAAAATCTTGAAGACAGTTTGGTTACATTTGTATCCTAGTTTTTATGTTAATAAACTTATTACTGGAGTTTTAAGGTGTGAATTTTTGTTTACAATCATAATTTCCTTCAGTTTTTTTACAATGCTTTTGATACTAAGTAATAAAACCTGATTTGAAAATTTGGCTTATTTTTAATACTATTAGGTAAATGTAAAAATTATTATATATAAAATGTATATACTTTAATAAAATAATTAATGTTTTAGGTAAACTTATTTTAGCATTGTTTTTACCAATTGAAATTTTTTTAAAATTTTATATGAAAATTTTTTATTTTTCCACTTTCAGATTTTAAAAAATAGTCTAAATATCTTATATGATAAACAAGAAAATAACAAGTTTTATTGGTCTGTGAAAACTCATGTTTTAAATCCAAAAAGTATTTCTTTAGTAGAACTGTATGGAGAAATAAATTCACTAACTTTGGAATGGAAGGATGGACTTATGGGATCAATTGTGAGGACAGCCGTGCAGGTAATTTAATTAGTCATTCGTATAGAAATACACAATTCAAATAAACATAAGTTATTCAATTTTTATATTGAGGTGGAAAAACAACTGCATATTATATCCAATTAGAACACAAAAATAATTTTACTAACTGAGGAGTTACTATTATAATGTTGGAAAGATCTAACAAGCAAAAAGGTTAATTTCGTATTTTTATAATATCTCTAATTCTCAGTGGCGTGCCGTGACATTTGATGATAGGGAAGCTGTGTTTCTATAAGAAGCCGACTTCCAGGGGCAATCAGTCAGCAATGGTCTATGGTCCATTCGTATTCGTTTGTTCGATAAACCAGTAAAAACCGTAGACTTTTCTAAATGTATTTTTAATTAATAGATTATCTAACGCACTTAATAAATAAGCAAGTTCAATATAATTAACTCTGTTATATTAGATTTAATAAATTCTCTACGCCCTCTAAATGCCAATTCTCGCTTCGATAACATTTACTAATTAAAATATATCTATTAGCCGTAACTATCTCGTTATAATTTTCAATATATATTTTATATTGTGTACTAATGTTAAATTCTATTCTATTTTGATTTCCAAATTGCTTCAATTTTACGAAAGAATCGATGCGAGATTTAGGATTTTCGTGTCTTTTGCCAGCTTTACTCAAATTATTTAAATCGTCAAAGCCAATCTCATTCTACACACTAATTTTATTTGAAAATAGTAGGCAAGGCCAACAAAACAAATTTTGCATTTTTATGCATCCACAAAGCCATTTTATATCTTCATAAATTTTATCATGAAAATGTCGAACAAATTTTTTCTTTTTCATTATATGGTCTCGAGCCAAAACTTTTTGAAATAAATTTTCGATATCACAATTACATTCTAAATTGCTAGCTATAATATAAGGGCTAAAATTAAAAATAAAATTATAAAAACTTACTTGTTAAAATAAAATGTGTGATGATATACAATTATACATACCTGGTACAAAATATTCAATTGTATGAATATACTTTTAAAGAAAATTATAAATATAGTTTTGTGAAGAAACGTACATAAAAATAACATAAAATAGTCTTTACTTTTTAAATATTAAAACAATCCACCTAGTTAAAATTGCTCCCTACCAGTGGCTCGTGGATGGAATCAGAGACGGTCTTGGTAGGTGTGCGGTGCGGTGCATGCTTGCCAAATCCCGAGGGTGCCGATACCGGTTAATGTCTCTTTTGTCTCATCACTAGTATATCTCAAAGGACGCGACAGGGTTGTTGTAAATTTTAAACGTTTCTCATCATAGCTGTAAAAATCTAAATTTGTTAAACTTAAAAGTCATTTGTTTTCTAACTACTGTAATTCGTTTTAAGACCAGGTGTCCACGGAAATTTCCAAAATTTACAACTTTTACTCACTTTCATTGAACTGGAAAAATTTCTGTCTTTATTACATCTAATATTACGAAGAAATCAGTCCCACTGTACTCGGCTAGATATTGGTCCGGTTAGGCTTTTGTTTAAGTAAAATTCCGGCTCTTTCATCAGGGTTTTGTTTACGTCCCCAATTCCCTAATCGCTTAATTATTTAACTACTTCTTAAGTAGAAATAAGTCGAAACCAGTTACTTTGTACTCGAATATTTGTAGTCTCGGGAAAAAAGTGGAAAGACAAATTTTTACGACAACGGATACATAAATCGTAAATTTAAGGAAAATAAATTCTAGAGCCTTTTCTGTACCTGGTGCATCTCTCTCATTCATTAAATTTAGTTGTAAATGACGCTGTCGAAGTAACGGTTAATTTTTTAACATTATACAAGAATTGTACACGTTTTTTTCTACATCCCCTTAAAGATGGGATGTACGAAATCGTAATATCACTGGTTTAACATCGAAATCCGTGAGTAATATAAAATCGGAGAGCGGAATAAATATATCAAATATTTTAATGGATTTTTTAAACTCCTGTCAACTATACAGAACTATCGTAAAAACATACCAGTAAATTCTTATCGGTTGGGTTAAGTTATAAATCTACTCGTTATTCACGTAATCGAAATATCTAGTGGGCAGGCGGCTAACAGCCCAGAACCGGTCCTTGATAGAATTGGAATCTTTATATGTGTGCAGCTTTCACCCAAGGTCGTAGGCTTCCACCGGCTAAACCGGGTGAGGTTGGTGCTCTGTAAAGCGCATGCGCAAATCTGGCTTTTCGTAATCTGAAAATACAGGAGATTCTACTCCGCCACTAATATTCTAATATACAATAGCAATTTTTTTTTCCACGTGTAGTATAGAAATTTGTAATAAGATACATAATGCGGTTATAATAAAATATTGTGCGATTATTTTCATATAATTAAAATTAATATTTATTTATTTTTTAGAGAATATGAGGGAAGCGGCGCTTCCAACGCTTCTAATGACGGCACGCTACTGCTAATTCTAATGTTCAACTTGAGATTATTATTTTTAGTTCAACCATTTTATTAATTAACTTTATATATTTTATTAGTTTTTTGAAAAGTAATGGAGTTTTCATTTGCTGTTTCAATATGTTGTTTTTAATATGTTACAAACATTCAATACAAAAGTAATAATAATCTTTATTGGCAACACAAAATATTTTTTATAATGAACTTATTTTGTAGTAATAATAATCTGTGATGCCAACAGAAGGCCAATAGTAAAAGAATTACTATGTTCGTGACCACTATAACAAAAAGAAAATAAAAGAAAAAGAACTTTTTTAAATGTCATATTGAGATATTTTTATATACTCTAAAATATAATTTGATAATATGTTATATACAATAAACACTATAATATATTTAATGAATATAAGAGGACTTGCTGTATTATAAAGATACAAGATGTATAAAAATGAATAATGATAGATTTTTCATTTATTGAATTTCTCTTCTTTATTTAATTATAAAAATACTTATTTTTTAGAATTAAATATAATATTTTAATTTGATATATGTTATGCTAAACCCAGGAATATTGCTCATTTTGTAAAATAGGTGAAAATATGAATAATTTGTGAAATCAGCAGTTGATGTCTCACTTTTACAAAAGTGACAATATTCTTATCAAATTCACAAAATTGGTAGTTTAGCCAAGTGACACTAACTTGGCATTGTACTAAATTGATGAACTTGCATATTTTAGAGAGTTTCACTTTGTTTTATTTTTGTGTATCATTGTTTTATAGTTTCTAATTTCAAAGTTTTTTCTTGTAAGTACTTACATTTTTATTATACAGGGTGTACACAAATTATTGGACGATTTTGTAAGATTGTATTTTCACTAATATTGAATATAAATATATGATTTTACTAATATTTGAAAGAGCGCTATTTATAGTTTTGTATTGACCTTAAATGCAATTGATGTGTGCTCCACATATGGCATGATAGATGTCTAGACAGTACTCCCATTCTCACCAAACTTTCTCAGGCATGTCTTTTGTGACATTCCCAATGGTGGCATGAATGTGCTGTGTGCTGTTTCAATTCCAGTAACATTCTTAGAAGTAGGGAGACATAAACATAGTCCTTGATGAATCTTCACAGGATTGCACACTGCAATTAACCTGGCAGTTCATTTAGATAATCCCTGACATCTGGTCAGGTTTGGCCATCTCAGTCATCGGATATTGCAGCATGCAATTTCTTCCTCTGGGGTTTCATCGAGGACAAAGTTTACATCTGCCACTCCAACAAAGTTACTGAAATTAAACAGTGCATTCACATCACCATCGGGAAAATCACACAAGACATGCCTGAGAAGGTTCGGCAATAATGGGGAGTACTATTGGGACATCTGCTTTACCACACTTGGGGCACACATTAAATGCATTTAAGGTCAGTACAAAAGCTGCAAATATCCCTCTTTCAAACAGAAATAATATCATGTATTTGTGTTTAATATTAGTCAAAATATAATCTTATGAATTTGTCCAATAATTTGTGCACACCCTGTATATGCTTTAGTTTTAATTTAGCATGAAATTTAACATCTATATAATGAACATTATTAGGAAGTATAAAATATTATTCAGTAATTTTAATATGAATTATTATCAGTGGCGTGCCGTCATTGGAAGTGATGGATGCGCCACTTCCCTTGTATTTTCTAAAAAATAAATACATATTAATTTTAATTATATGAAAATAATTGCACAATATTTTATTATAGCCGCATTATGTATGTTATTACAAATTTCTATACTACACGTGAAAAAAAGAGATAAGATTGCTATTGTATATTCAACTATTAGTGGCGGAGTGGAAGTTCTGTATTGTCAGCATTCAAAAAGCCAGATCTGCACATGTGCTTTACAGAGCACCAACCTTACCTGGTTCAGCTGGTAGAAGCCTAGGACCTTGGGTGGATGCTACTTGTATACCGCATCCAATTCTATCTAGGGCCGGTTCTGGGCTGTTAGCCACTCTCACCCGATTATGTGAATGATGAGTAGATTTATAACTTAACCCAACCAATAAGAATTTACAGGTATGTTTTTACGATAGTTCTGTATAGTTGACAGGAGTTTAAAAAAATCCATTAAAATATTTGATATTTTTATTCTGCTCTCCTATTTTATATTACTCACAGATTTCAATGTTAAACCAGTGATATTACAATTTCGTATGTCCCATCTTTAAGGGGATGTAGGAAAAAACGTGTACAATTCTTGTATAATGTTAAAAAATTAACTGTTGCTTTGACAGCATCATTTACAACTAAATTTAATGAATGAGAGAGATGCACGAGGTACAGAAAAAGCTCTAGAATTTTTTTCCTTAAATTTATGATTTATGTATCTGTCTGTCATAAAAATTTATCTTTCCACTTTTTTCCCAAGACTACAAATATTCGAGTACAAAGTAACTGGTTTTGACTTATTTCTATTTAAGAAGTAGTTAAATAATTAAGCAATTAGGGAATTGGGGACATAAACAAAACTCTGACGAAAGAGTCGAAATTTTACTTAAACAAAAGCTTAGCCGAACCATCTCTAGCCGAGTACAGTGGAGACTGATTTCTTCGTATTATTAATGTAATAAAAACAGAAATTTTTCCAGCTCAACGACAAAAGAGGTATTTGACATTGACCAGTATCGGCACCCTGGGGATTTGGCAATCCGTGTGTATGCACGCTCTGCAACCGTCTTCGATTCCATCCATTAGCCACTCGTAGGGAGCTATTTGACTAAGTGCATTGTTTTAAGATTTAAAAAGTAAAGGAGATTTTATATTTTTATGTACGTTTCTTTACAAAGCTATATTTAATTATAATTTTCTTTAAAAGTATATTCATACAATTGAAGAATATTTTGTATCAGGTATGTACCAGTACATCCACCACACATTTCATTTCACTGAGTAAGTTTTTATTATTTTATTTTTAATTGTAGCCCTTATATCGTGGCTAGAGATTCGGAATGTAATTGTGATATTAAAAATGCATTTAGAGAAGTCTATGATTTTTACTGGCTTATTGAATAAACGATACGAATGGACCCTAGACCAGGGTTGGCCAACAGTTTTTGTCCCCAGGCCGAATTGGAAAGAAAACTTTTTCCATGGGCCGAACCAGAGGCTACCCTAGGAAGATTTTGAGGTGGTGCGAGATCTCATTGTTGTGTCATCCCATAGAGACTAAATTGTACAGTACATAGAGATTACAGATACATTTTTCACATTATCATGCTTTTTGAACATTTTACACTGTACTTATGAGATTTGTAATGGAGGGTTAACTCTAAATGCACTGTGAGTTGTTGACTTTTTTTTTTCTTTAGGCATCAGAATTTTTCATTGAGCTATTTGGACTTGAGTAGCTAATATTGAAAAATCGATTGCGGGCCATATAAATTTATTAGACAGGCCGGATCCGGCCCGCAGACCATATGTTGGCCATGCCTGCCCTAGACCATCACTGATGCGCAATTGGCTGATTGCCCCTGGATGTCGGCTTCTTACAGAAACACAGCTTCCCTATCATCAAATGTCACGGCATGCCACTGATTATTATATTCATACTATATTTTAATTATAATACTAAAACAAATATTTTTAATTATATTTCTATAGGAACAAAATGATTGCCATCATTGGATTATCTGCGATGGCCCAGTTGATGTTTTATGGATTGAAAATTTAAATTCGGTACTTGATGATAATAAAATACTCTGCCTTGCCAATAGTGAAAGAATCAAACTTACACCTTTGATCCACATGTTGTTTGAAGTTGATGATCTTACTCAGGCTTCTCCTGCTACAATTAGCAGGTATTGGTATTAATTTTTTTAAATAGCATTTCTCAGTATTGAATTTTAAGACAACACTCTTAAATTGTATTTTTTATCATAAGATTTATTTTAATATGGAATCAAACCTATTCTAATAAAAAAGGTTAGAATAAAAAATCCAAATGTTTTTAAATGTACTTTGTAAGAGAAAAATAGAATGAGGAATTCATGATTTTATTTGATTGTTTCAATTGGGCTGCAATTTTAAAAAAATTGTAGATCTATAAATTTCCACTGTCATCCATCAGTCTGTCTTTTCTTAATCTCGAGAACAAAATTAGATAGATGAAATCCGGGACCAGATATGGAAACCTTAGGGGCAGGAGGCCCCAATTAACTACCATGTTTCCCCGAAAATAAGACATCCGCAGAAAATAAGTCCTAGCACAGATTTTGCTGAATTGCGAAATATAAGACCTCCCCCTGAAAGTAAGACCTAGCGAAGTTTTTTTTAGTCGTAACGGTCATCGACAGATGGTTGAAAGTGGCCGTTGGCTTTTTGAAAGTACAGCCACTGATTGGTCAGCAGACAATTACGCCACACGGCATGATTTGCATAAGACTATGGCTTGGGAATCACAGATTTGCATAACGTTACGGCTGGTGATGGCTAATTGGTCGGCCGGGAATCACGCCACATGACATTTGCATAGTGCTACGGTTCAGTAAGCACTAATTGGTCATCGAGTCCGATGTTGACGCTATAAAAAGGCGACAGTTCGACACACCGGATATACGTCACTCTCGTCTAAGTTCGACTTGGGAATTTTTTTGTTCAATAATAAATGTGAATTCTTCTTCCTGGAAAAAATAAGACATTTCCTGAAAATAAGACCTAGCGCATTTTTCACAGCAAAAATTAATATAAGACACTGTCTTATTTTCGGGGAAACACGGTATATATGAACTTCCAATGCAAATCAGAAGTCACATTATTTCAATTTAAAATTTTTTTCCCAAAGGAGTTGGATAGATGACCGACACCACTCCATTACTAATGCAAAATTATGATGTACAGGGGAAAAACACTACAGTACTAATTTTTCAGTATATAGAATTATTTGCAAACAACTGAATTTAAAACTATAACTAAACTGAATTTAAGTATAACTATGATAGCTAATTGAAATGTAAAAGGATATTACTATTATGCTGATGATGATTATTAATTTTCAACTTTGATAATTATTTTAATAATATAAAATATTTTAAAATAACTACTGATAGTTATATTTATTTTATCAAAAATTGTCATTCTCTTCATAAATATGAAAATATTTAATTGTAATGTAGTTTACATATTAAATATACAATTCACATTTTAGTTTTAGTTAATACTGATCTGATAGAGAATGAATGATTAAAATTTATCAAATAATTATAAATTCTGAAAGGTAAAAAAAAAATGATAGCTAAATGTGGACAAAGCATTTGGAAAATATTGGACAATCAAAGAATGAACATAAAGAGATAGATTGCTTGTAAATGCTTATAGATAGAGACAGTTTACAAATTTGAAAATTTAGATACAGAAATACTAGTCCCAGTTATAAGGTTTGAATCAAAGTTGGCAAAGATGATTTCTAGCTGTTTTAAATGATTTTAGAGATGAAACTGTAGTTTAATTGATTATTTTATTGTATCATAATTTAAGTGAAAAATTATCTTATTAATATAAATATCCTTTATGTAACTAAATATTTCATTTTTTTAAATATTGAATTTAAAAATTTATTAAATAATTTTACTTTTTATAAAATTTTGTACTAAGCAAGAATTTTTTTTAGATGCGGTATGGTGTATATTGATTCAGAATATTTAGATTGGCGTCTCATTGTCAAGACGTGGCTTTCTAAACTTCCAGAAACCATATCGGATGAAATTAAAAAATATCTCTGGAGGTGTTTTGATAAATACGTTGATACTGGATTACAGTTTGTGAAACAAAATTGTGTAGAGACAATTGCTCAGGTAATCAATAATCTAAATATATAAAATTACTTCTTCTGACTGAGTGACTGAGTGATTGACTGATTCATCATCACCCAGAACAAACTGCTGAACCTAAAGAGATGAAATTTTGTACACAGTTAGGGTACATCATGAAAACGCACACTAAGAAGGGATTTTTCAAAATTCCCTCCACAGGGGAGAGGGCAAGGATTAAGGCTTAACCTGATTATGGCTTCTACTGTAATATTTTAGCTGCAATTTTTTGTTTTCAATTATGTTTTAGTAGGGTATGCCATGAGAATACACTCTAAGAAGGGATTTTTGGAAATTCCCCCGCAGAGAAGAGGGAGAGGATTAAGGCTTAACCTGAAGAACGGCTTCTACTGTACTATTTTAGATGCGATTTTTTGTTTTCAACTATGTTTAGTCTTCATTGAGTTCTTAGGTATATTAAATTGATAACATTTCAGACATTGTTATAAATATTGTTATATGTTTCGATTTTTTAACCAAATGTTTGAACCGTTTTAAATTTGAATTTGTTATTGTATATTGGTTCAATTATAGAACGATTGTAAATGTTCCAGAAAATTGATCAAATTGAAAACAGTTTGTTTGATTCTCAGCAATTCTCATCATTCTCAGCGGTAATTGTTATGTAACAATTACTACGATTGTTGAAATACTAAATATAAATGGCAAACCCCATTTATATTCAGACTTCGCCCCGTAGGCGAAGTTGTGGGTAACAGCTAGTATAATTATAATATTAGCTTATTAGTTATTCAAATAAATTATAAAAATTATATATATATAAGAGATATAAGAGCAATTTTGTTAAATTAAAATGTTCTCAATAAAAACAAAAAAGACAAATAAACTTTAAAACGCTTTAATATTTTCAGAGTTATCATTCAATAATTTTGTAATATTGAATTCAAAATGAACAATCAATATGCCTTTTTTTTCTATTTTCATTTTTTAAAATAAGTTTCAAAGAAAACAGTTGAATTATTTTATAAATATCAAATTGCCAAATTATTTTAACTTACATTGCATCCAAAAAATTGAATATGCAGGTAATAATAATTTATGGAATGTATTGAATTAAGTTAACTAACAAATAATTTAATTTAATTTAAATAAATTAATAATTTTGTGAATTAATTTTTCATCTATTTTTTCATAGATTGACATTGGGAAAATTTCTTCATTGTGCTCTTTGCTGGAATCATTATTTTTACATCCAAAAGGCATAGATATCATAAAAGAAACCAATGGTAATCGGCCACTTATGTTATTATCATTCATGTTTTCCTATTGGTGGTCTATTGGTGGTAATTTGAAAGAAAATAGCATGAAAATGTTTGATGAATTCTTTATTTCATTATTTAGTAATGATCCTAACTATGAGGTAAATGTGGAACATTTTTAAATTTTATAATCTATATTAAAAAAGTATTGTATCATGGCTGGGTTACTTAATCACCTTTAACAGTGAAAATTTTTTTAAAAGAGTGTTAATGTTTTTGACTTAGTTAATGGGTCAACCTCAAGCATGGACAGTCAAAAGATGAGAGCACTTGTCTTTCAACTGTATATATATATAATAATATTATATTATTATTATATATACTTAGTAAATTAATAATATATATATAAAATATTAATTTATTTTAACATCTCTTTTTAAGCATTTTCTATAAGAACTAATAAAATATTTTTACAAATAAAAATAATGTAAAACAATGTTGTTATATCTCTTTTTTGCAACAAAATTATCAAGTCTGTCTTTTAATAATTGTGTTACAGAATCTTAACTGAAGAATTATTGATTTTAGCAACTTTAATGTCAAAATCTACATTATGATTTAAGAGTATAAAAATAGATTTTTGCCATATAATTTACCACAGTTTTATAAATATAAAATAAAATAATGCTACATAAAAAATTTATTAATAGAATTATTTTATAATAAATTTTATTAGATTGCTTTTTCTGGTTTATTAAAATGGAAAGTAATAATGCTGGAATCATTTACACTTTTAAGTTTTTAAAAATTTTGCTACTACTAAAAACATTTTTAATGTTGATGTTCTTAAGATGGAAAGAGGAAAGATTTTGAATTTTTGAAGTGTCAGAATTCTTTTTAATTATTTAATATTTTAAATGTTTAAAGAACACAGAAAATATTCAAAAAACACTATCAGTGCACCATAATTTTTTGCAGATAATGTGCAGGTAATCTGTGTTGGAAAGGGAGTGCATATTATGCAATGGGTTGGGTTTATATACTGATTTTAAATTCCAGTCATGAGTTAAAGTTTATTCACACCAATTACTGGCCTGTGTAAGGCAACCCAACTGACCTATCAGACTGACAATTGTTTATTTATCTACTCATATGTTTGAGAGAAATGACATCAAAGTATTTAATTAACTATATATACTCCCACTGTTTTTACAACCTTGACCTACTTCAATGGATTAAGATTTAACTGTTTAATATTTGCAGTTAACATATAGATTAATTTTCAGTCTAATACAAAATACAAGAAACCAAAAAGAATTAAATTTTTTAAAAAATTAAACGGAAAATAATTAACTTCTGTGATTTACTGTCTCACTTAGCATTGTGGCATCTCTTTGACTTCATTGTTCTAAAATTGTGAAATTATGGACATTGCATCAGAAAATATGATTATATCTTTCATTTCCATAATTTGTCTTTTTTGAATGATGTTATAGATATGTGGATTGACGAAAATACATATTTTATGTTTATTTTTTGTAATTTAATCCAAAAAAATGCAAAAAATAAACATCAAATATTACTTTTCTGTAAAATATCTCAGGTTTTACAGATTCATATCATAAACATCCACAAACAAAACCTTTTTTATCCGTGTTGTATTCAACACAAAACCTGCTAACATTTTCGGCCTCCACCAAGGCCTTCTTCAGGTGCTGAACTAACTGGCATCCCTTTGACCATTAGAATGATGTTGCCCAAGTTATAAACGTTGCACATATCACATTTCACCCCTCTGCCTGTTTTTGTTTGAATTCCTCGAACAGGTATTTCCACACATGTGCAATCGTCTCCCTGTCCTTAAAGTTGATACAGGTGCCCCCAATGTTATAGATCTCCCAGGTCTCCAGGTGACAAATGTGATCGATTTGAAATGCCTGTCTATTTAATTTGGTGTTGTAATGAAAATTTTAGATTCATTGTTACAGTTTTCTATTGGATATATGCTGTTGTGAGTTATTCACAAAAAAATTACAGTAATAATATAACAATATATTTAAAATGATTAATTCTATATTCCATATGAAAGAACTTTATCATAAAGAAATATCCTCTTTAATGAGATAAAGTTTTTATTGAATCTTTCTCTCCCAATAAATATTATTTAAGTCAGAAATGCAGAAATAATTGTTACATAAGTTTATTAATTACTACATAGTTAAATATATATATATATATATTTCATATAATATTTTATTGATTTGAATTTTGTATCATTTAAAATTTATTTTAGGTTCAAACATTAGGAAAAGAATTTGGAAGATATTTTATTGATTATTCGTATAAAAGAATGGAAAGCTGGGAAAGTCTTGTTCCTAATTACATTTATGAAAACATTCCATTCTTTGACATTGTTGTTCCTACTCCAGATACAATCAGATTTGGATATTTAATGGAAAGATGTTTATTATTAAATAAAAGTTTCATATTCACTGGCCCTACGGGTGTTGGAAAGTCTATCATTGCTTACAATCATTTGAAATCCATCAGTGCAGAATCAGGATATATTCCAGTTTTTGTAAATTTTACAGGTCAATATCAAGTTAATTTTTATTTATAAGTTATTTTTTAAATACATTTTTAAGAAGTATCTAAATATTTTAATTTTATTTAATGATTTAATTTATATATATATATTTATATTACAGTGACATCTCAGTTTTCATCATTAATCCATCTGAAAACAATCAATGAAATCCAAAATCAACAAAAACTGAGGCAATTATTTCCATATGAATCAGTTTAAATCCAATTAATTCATTCTAGACACTCCAAAATACATATCAAAAACACATTTTATAGAGAATAAATATAGTATTTAATACTAAAAACAATAAGAAATGAATATAAAATGAATATAAAAGACTAATGCAATGGCCTCCAAACAGAATTGCCATCTAACTGTTTTTGATTGATCCAAATTAATAACAACTGTTTGACATCTTCAATTGTTTGCAATCTCTGTTTCATTAGCACATTCATGCCTTTTGCTACATTAGCCTCCTTTATTTTTCCTTTTTTGCCACAATAGAAGTTATCACGGAGTGCGATTTCCCATATATGTGGCCGAATTTAGCAATCTTAATGCCGCTCTTGTATTGTAATGTTGTATTTTTCAATGATTTCCTTCAACTCAAGCGTGTTCCTGGCCTTCTTCTTCGAAGTTTTGCTGGCTCAGGAAACTTCCTTTGGTTTCATGATGGAGCTAAAAGGAAAGGAAAGCAATAGAATTGTTTAGCTAGATATATGGGGTAATGCTTACACAGATACAGATACTGATACAGATATATTTTGTTCAACACACTAGTTACAGCATATACTGGGTGCCACATAGGTATAACCCAGTTTGATACAGTAAAAATAATGACATGCTAGATATACTAGATATATAGTATTGGTTACAATTATTAAAGTGGATTAACAAGGAATTTGTTACAGATATTTACAATTGATGATTATGTACAATAGTTAGTTAGTAGGATATAATAATATAAAGAAATAAAATAAAATTAAATTAAATTAAATATCAGGTACAATTAATTCAGTACAAATAATCAATTAATACAAAAGGAATTAGTTATAAGTACTTATTTACACTATATACATGCAATTGTAAAGTACTATATTATTTTTCCGACTTTCCAATGATTATCGACACTACTGTTAAATTGGATGGCTGGCGGCGGCGGTGCAGTCTTTTTTTTTTTTTTTTTTTTTTTGAAAGGGGTACAGTTTTATAAATA